CACGAAATACTACTTCGTGCGCACGAAATACTACTTCGTGGCCACAATTAAACATTTTTTTTGACCATGTCATCAGAGGGGCTCCGTAAATATCTAAGCGTGGACTGCGTTATGTTATTCCACGCCACAACGCATGAGCAGGGCTCGATGTTAACCATCGCCCGATCTCCTGGGGCAAGTAGTTTTTATTGTCGGGAGAGCACAAATTTAATTGCATTTGCCCGCCGGGTAAGTGCAATGATCGCAAAAAAAAAATTATTTATCACTGAAAATTACTTTAAAATCACCGACATTCGATGAAAACGACCCAGAAGCGTTGCCGGCGGTATTTTTGCTGTTTTGTACACATTCTCACATGATTTGAAAAAGCCGCGTGATTTTCCGCCAGATGGCGCGATTTTTGTCCGGGAATTGGCGCGAATCAGACACATTTTTTTTGACTTGGCAGGCTAAAAAACAACAACAAGGCAAAAAAATTTAAGTACAGTAACACACCCACCACCCAGATAACCCTAGATTAAAAATTATCGGTCAGGGATTAGGATTAGCTCTTGTTGCTGCATTTATTTTTTCAGGGAAAACTGATCCTGAGTCAGTTAAAAGTCAGGGAATTCTGAAATGATGTCAGACTGTGGAAACCCTGTAGAAAATAAAGCATCTTAAACAAGTGAAAGTTGTTTCGCTTAAACTGAAATCCAACCATAAATTAATGAGCGATTTAAAAAGAAACGAAGTTTAAAAAGTGCAACTGAAAAGCATTTAATGAGTAAATAAAGTATCGTCTGCATATAAGCGGTTTTTCCCGGTTTCTCTACTCACACTCTCCGCTCCACTTGCTGGGATGAAGCATCAGGCGGATCTTGGCCTCCTCCAGCTCCACCTTCAGCCGCTCATGTTTGCTCCTCAGCTCTCGAATTTGCTGCTGTCGCCTCTCCAGCATCCTCAGCCGGGCGTTAAAGTAGAGCAGGCCCTTAGGAGCAAACAGAACCCGGGTCAGAACCAGAACCCTGCAGAGGCTCTACATTCAGGAACAGAGGCAGCAGAGGGATGGAGCGGCAGGAGAGAACGAGGAGCCCCTAACCTGCTCCCTGAGCTCAATCTGTGCCCACAGATGGATTTAATTAGAAGTCAGTGAGAGATAAAATTAGCATTAATCTGCAGTTAATCTGCAGGACGGAGGCTGAGAGGAGGATTAAGGCCAGCTGAGGAGAGCAGGCGACACAGAGGTGGATCACATGCAGACTCTCTGAATCACAGCTGTTTAAAAAAATCACCACATTTTAGGAAGCGCCGTATTCTTCCTGTTTTCCTCTGAACACTATTTCTGTTGTGAAATCATGACCTCAGTCATGAAAGGATGGATGACTTCAAACTAACCTTTTCCACATCCTGGAAGGGTTGCTGAGGAAGGAAAGACAAACAAACAGTTCAGTATCATTGTCCATTATCTACGGAAGAGGAGTAGGGCCACTGAAAAAAAAGAGGTGAAGTTAACTGATTTTTAAATTTTATTTCAGTTCAGTGTGGGAAAAAAGTCAGAATTCTGAGATTAAAAGTCAGATTTCTGAGAAAAAAGGTCAGGATTCTGAGAAAAAAGTCAGAATTCTGAG